TAACATGCAGGGCAGGAGTTAAATACAACAATTAAAGCAGAAGAAGCATAGATACTGCGGAAGTGATTGCTCCAAGAAGAGCTGTCATAAGAGATCTGCTGCTCATGTACAAAGAAGACTGCTATTAAAAGTAGTAATTACAGGTATGACATTTTCTCAAAGGCAATAGACTCCATATTGTCGGGGTCCTGAGGGCAACAATAGGCCTTAATTGCCCTGGCTAGCCTCATTAGTGACCCCACCAGCGCACCCTCTGCCTGCGGGCTCAGGAGCCCCAGTTGAGCTCGGGCCCAGGCACCCAAACCTTGCGTGAGCTGAGTAGTTGGTAGGTCTGTGCCCAGCCCTGCCCCTGCTGCTCTGACTTCCTGACTGGTTTTCCTGGGCAGACCTCGGACCTGTGTTGTGGCTCACCTCATCTCCAGACCAGTCTCTGGCTGCTCCTTGACCAGTCCCCCTGGATGGACCGTGGACCTGACTCATCACCTAGGCTTGTCTGGAGCAGCAGAGAGAAATTGTCACCAACCCAGGGCTGTGCCCCACTGGGAGGGCGCTGCCACGGCCACCCTCCATGCAAGGTTAATCTCCTGTCATGGGGCAGCCCTGCTCTCAACTCCCTCGCACTTGTTTTGTTCCACAGGGACAGTGCAGCTACTTATATGGGGTTGGAGGTGAAACCTCAAGAGATGCAGCTTTCATTCCTTTAATGTCCTTCAGTCTCCTCTTATTAAGGTACATGCATGTCTTCTCCATTAAGAAAATAGAACGATAATATTCACACACACTTGGAAAAGGCTTTGAGATTCTCAGATAGAAGATACTGCACTGATGCTTCACTAGCTTAGAAAACCGTGAACTCAGCTGATTAAATCCTTTTCTCAGGAAATTCTGTATCTCTTAGAAAACAGAACAGATGACAAAATATGGCAAAATATAATTTTAAAAATCCCTGTTTTGAGTCTTCTTATGTTGACTCAGACCCAGGATTGTAAACTGGACCAAAACAGGCCTTTTTGATCCTTCTGACAGCAGCTGAGTCTTCAATGCTTTCAGTCCTACTTTTTCAGGAACATAATAACTTTGCTGGGACTCTTGGCAGCCACTGTTTCCCAAAGTTTGGAAGTTCAAATGAGAGCAGAACTATGACCCAGGAATGTATGGTTCAGCCAGACAGCTCGTGTAAGTAGGTAACTACTTCCTTGCCTTCAAGTATATTTTCTGTAATACCATGTGGCTACCAACCTTTCCTCTTTAGTGCTCCCAATGTCAGGCACTTACGAAAGGAGAGGCTGGCACAGAGCAAGCCTGAATACCTATGTGCGTATGAGATGACTGGGGCTGAACACCTACGTGCATATGAGGTGACTGGCTCACAGCAGTTGCCACGTACTAGGAAATAACAGTTTACCATGTTCCTCATCACTGCTGTGAGGCTTATGGTTTCTCTAAATCAGCAGCAGGACTCTTTATTAGAACATTTACTTTATGACACTGAAAGAGTGAAATTGTTTCTCATGACGAGTAGGGTTTCAGTATATACCAAAGTAGTGCACATGTGCTTGTTCTCCTGAGAAAACCCCAGATTTGACCATGTATCTGGCCAGACACCAAGGATAAAACTTTATTGTTTAAACTGTCCTTTTTTTGCTTATAAGCCTCAGCAACCAGAGGCTGAGCAATAGCTCTGCAGTGGATAACTGCAGCTTGTTAATTTTATTAAATGTTTAAGGGCTTCCTATAAGGTGCCTGTATTTATTTTTTTGTCCTGTTGCCACCCATGAAGAGAAATGAAGGCAGGCAACACCGAACAGGAAACGAGTGTCTCAAAAGTTACAGCTCAAGGAAAGCTGGTGTCCTCACAGGCATAGACCTCAGCATATACTTGAGGCAATACGGTAGTAAAAATGGTTTGTGTGATCTTTGGATTTTTAAGAAGCATACGTTTATATGCATATCAAGCATGCACTAAGCTGGGAATGCAAAATCAGAGGAGGCTTCTTGGGTTAACAAGTCCAGGACCCTAATGTGACAGGACCCATTTTATGTAATCCCTTTCAATAAATGCATTGAGCTCCAGCTGCAAACTAGTTTGAATTTTACTCTACCGCTTTCACTAGAGCCGCTTTTGAGCTTCTACTCTAACACTCAAGAAGCCTAACTTCTACACTGCATTTAGTTCAGAGCCACTTTCCATGCCACTACTCACTTTTAAACAAATCCTTTCCATCCCAGTGGACTATTCCTCCTTTATACGCTAAGTGGGGTATTTTCCTGAACAGCACTCATGTCTTCTCTGTTGCTACTTTGCTAGACTAAACAAGACAAACGCTTCCGATTTTCTCCTGTGCATGTTCTCTCTTTTCCATATCATCCTAGTAGCCCTTCTCTGCTCCTGTCCCACTTTGAATTCAGCTTTCCTGACACAAACAATTATAGCTGTGCACAGTGTGTCCAGATGGGGTGGTAACCTGGCAAGCAAAGTCCAAGAAGTACTAGAAAGGGCAATGATACACATGGCAGCTATGCAGGTTTGGAAACAGGAGGATTAATCATCTCAGCTATGATCTTACTTTGAAGTAACATATCTAGAAGCAAGTCACACAGGTTGCCCAGAAGAAGAGATAAATTATGTGTGCAGTTGTGCTGTTGTAACTGACAGGGTGCCTCAGGCAGATTAGTTAAAGAAAGAAGCTGAAAATGTGCAGATCAACACAGGATATCCACGACTTCTGTCAAGTCCCAGTACAGAGAAGACGCATGAACTGAGGAACAGCCAACTATGGCGCTCAAAGTTGTATCAAATGCTTTTAAGGATAAGCTGGATTCATGGTCTTTGGATTCAAAGTATGGGTCAGACAGACCCTGTTCACCGGTGCTGCGGGGACCAGGACCAGTGTTCGGTTACCGTTCAGCTCTGACTGAAGAGTAGCATTGCTCCTCTCCTTGTTCTCTGGTTATATAGTGGAAAAACCTTTTGTCATTTGTCTTCATTTTCTTCAGATAGATAGTTTAACTAAGCTTAGCCTTTGTAGCTCTGTGCTACAAGTGTAAAGAGAACTTTCTTGAAGTTCAGTTCCTTTTCCCTGTTCCTTGTAGGTTCTTTGCTTATTCTCAATATCCTTTCAGAGAGGTACTAAAGAGCCCTTGGCATACAAGTTCCTAATAGCTTGAAAACCTTTGACCTGAAAAAATCCTTGGCCTTCTCTATATGGTATTGCTATAACAGTGTAGTTAACTTTAATAACCAGTTCTTATAATTCCTCATGGTTTCCCTTTTTTGAATCAAGAGCCTTTCAGCTTCCGCACATTAGCAGTTCTACCATGGGACAACACAGATAACTAAATCCCCCTGCTCCAGAGGTATAGCCAGTCACCTGGAAGCATCAGGAATGTAAAGTTATCCCAAGGCGCACTTTGGCTTCTGGCAAAAGGGTGCCCCTGTCTGAACTATCAGAAGCTGGGGGCAAGCTCAGCAATAATTAACTGAGCAGAGTTGGCTGGTGTCCTGAAACAACTTCAGGAGTGTTTCTTGTTCAAGATCGTCTTGATTACTAGGAAGAAAAATTTTCCATGATCAAGTTCACAAGTTCACAGCCTTCGGCTTTTTCCACTTTCCAGCATGAGGTAAAATGGTACAATGCAACTTTGTGGAAATCTTGGGAAAGCTTGACCCACCCAACTTCTTCCCACTGGAGGGGGTTGTGGCTCTAATCTCCCGGTCTCTTCTGCTTTAACTGCCATATACATTCAGTTTTGGAAAATTGAAGAACTTTTTAGTTAGAAGTTTGAGGCTTGTTATTTGGAACCTGGAACAAAGGGGCATTTAAAATCACTGATCCAGTGGTCCCTTCTGGTCTTAAAATCTGTTAAATCTATGTCAATGGCAGAACATATGAAGAGGTGCACATAGCTTCCGTTTGCAGCATACACTCATTTTCATCCAGCTTTGTGAAATTTGCACCCTAGTGTAAATAAGCTTATCCACTGGGAATTCTCCAGATTTTCCTTGAATTAAGTTCTCCTCCTAGCTTGAGCATCTAACTAAGCCAGAAACAGGCTCTGTGTCTGACGCTTGTCTTGGAAAGTGGTGACCTACTTTCCAAGGCAAGAAAAAAATTGTTTCCAAGAAACAGCCGTGACTTTCTAAAGTCTCCTAAATATATGTCATCTTCCCAAACATCGAAATGAAGGTTTATGCTGTGTGAATCATGTTTTACTTCACAGCTCTTTAGGGGCGTGAGTTATGTGCTTGGTAAACATATAGAAATTCCCAGACTTTGCATAGAATCTTTTGCTACAGGTGTCTCCCTGCCTCAGTTTTTTCACCAGTCTGAAACTGCTCCATGGCCTAGGGTTGCAATATATGGGGGATGTACAGGAGCATTCCTCAGCAGTTCATGGTTTCTCATACGAACCAGAAAATTTTTTCAGCTCAGAATGCTTCATCTCACTTTAGTAGTTCTCACAACAGTTCTGGGTCCTTCTTGCAATAAAATCTGTTGACCTTCTCCTCTTCCCTTTTCCCATCTGAAGCTTCTCCTTTCTTACAGACATTTTAAGGCTTACATGTCCTTCAATATCTGGCCCCTTTGTTCTACCACGTTCTACTTCACTGCTCCATGGAGACAAGCTGGAATTTATTTCTGCTTTTTCCAGCTTAGCATTTTGGTATAGCTATCGCCAAACCGGTGCATTGTTAAAACTGACCAGTCTGTTTTAAGTCTGGGAAAAGTATGTTCCTAATTTTCCTTGAAAAAGGTTGGTTTCATGCACACGTGCAGACATCCAATAGCATAGCAGTCTTCTTGCTAGCAGCACCTCTGGTGCTGTTAGAAAAGTAAATTTCTTACTAGATAGATTCCCCAGGTCATCACAGGAAGCCCTGTCTTCAGCAGCTGAGATCCATATAGTTATCATCTTACCCCTCTACTTGCGAAACACGTGTGTGTAAGGAATGCATTTAAACACACTCTTCACTTTATTAAATTTCTATTGCATGTGGTTCACTTTATTTGCTTATGTAATATGGTTTATAACACAGACTTTGCATGAAAGACATTTCACTTCTCTCTTGGAAAAGCCCATTAAAGAAAGTGGGTTGAGAGTAAACAAACCTCAGCTGCAGAAAAAAGGCCGTAAACATGAAACCTAAAATAAAATAGCAAAAAAGACATCTGAACTCTATTAGTGCTTCTTTCAAGACAGCTTTCATCAGTTTTTGCACAGTACATCTATATCTGTCAGGTACTTTTTACCACATAGCTGCACAATTCAGTGAAATATTGCAGAGAGCTGCCTATAATTATACACTATTTCAAGGCCCAATTGACTACATGCACATCAGCATGTCAGATCAGAATATGAGATGGGAGTCATTATTATCAGGCTATTACTTCAAACCACTATTTCATCAGGGTATATAAGACAGCTAATTACAAAGTATAGGGAAACAAACTTGAACTACAAATTTATAATCAAAGAACATTTGAGTTTAGAAAGGACCTCTGGAGGCCACCTAGTAACAACCCCACGCCCACACAAAGAAAGGCCAAACTGAAGTTAGATCTGTTCTTTACAGTAGAGAGATGGCTTACATACATAAGTGAATAAAGGAAATACGTGTTAAAAAAGATAATGGAAGCTTACTATTCAAAGTATCCACTATGCCCAACTGAGAGGCCAGTTTGAGATTGTAAGTTTTAAAGCTTGTCTCTACACACTAAGTTTTTCCTAATGTTGGCCTAAGATTAGCTGACTCACTGTAAATTTCAAAATTATTTAAAAAAAGACCTTCAAACATTTTGCAGATACTTTATCAGAAAACTCTTATGTCAGCTGTTTCAAGACAGCAGCTTGTAAAACAGTAGCTGAAGCAGAAAGAACAGAGACTCACTGTATCACACACACATCATATGCTCAATGGTTCACAGTGAAAAATAACTCATGCATTAATTCACAGACAAATATAGATTGCAGAAGCAGCTGACATGCTAACTTTCACTTACTAAGATGTAAGAATCATCCTTTCTTTCTTTTTACTGCACCCATAAGCATCCAGTTAGAGTTGTTGAGAATACAACCATACAAATGAAAATACATTTCTAGGTATTTTTATAGGTATTACAGCGAATAGCAGTATTGCTTCTCTCTGGCATGTGAAATGCAGTGACAACGACACAAGGTTGAAGTGCAAAGCTGAGCTGCCTCTGCCTAAGAGCACAAGGTGAAACCCTCCAGTATATAGAGCACGGGAAACCAGGGTAGTGTTGTTACAACTGTGAAGCGGGCAGCAAGTTCTGCCCACACCAGTTGTTCCCTACTCACGGCAAGTCAAAAGTTACTCAGCGGAGCACGATAATGTCAAGAGGACTTTCATTTCAATAAGGAACAATGATATTCACCGCAACTAAATTTCAGAGGCTGTGTACTATTTATGTTCCTCCATAAAAACAGAGCAATCCAGTTTGAATTACTTCCATTTTATGATTACATGGAAAAAAAAAATAGAAAGAAAGAAAGAAAAAAGCAAAAATGAAGTCCTTGAGCTAGATAAGCTAGATTTTTCACATTGGCTAAGAGAATGGAAGTGGTTGATAGTTCCCAGCTGAGTGCAAGTCTGACATGGGGAGAAGCTGCTTGAGGCTGGAACATGCTGCACATTGACTTCAGAGCGTTGCTAGATGGTGCAAGTTAGGGCAGTCTCCAGGCAGCTCAACACTGCAGCTGAAGCTAAGCAATGATTTAAGAAGCTGCCTCTGATTCCCTGACATCCTATCTGATTTGCTGTGCCAGCAAGGAGTCCGTCTGATCTGGATTAATCTCAGCTGAATCCAGGTGGCTACAACTGGATATTTAAAGGTACAATACATAGATGTGGAAGTAGCGGTGACTATAAAGAAATGCTTATTCTTCTCTTCCACAAGTAAAATCAACACCAGTAATGCTTTTTCGTATGAGCTATTATGGCAAAACGGAAGGAGATGCGAATGCTATCTTTGTGATCTTATAGCAGCACTGTAGGTCCACTTTGTGTTGGGATAAATAGCTGCACAAGACACTGGAGAATCAGCCCATGTTTCAGTCCAGACCTACTGCTAAGGAGAAAATCTTGACATTGATGCTGTAATGATTCTTTTTACAGTGAAACAGACAGCACTTTTCCAAGACATTATGACAAAATAGAGTCCATGAGAACACTTGTTTCTTCAATCTCGTTACATCTTTCTAAAGGGAAAACGGCTCACAAAAGCCAGCGCCCTTGACTAATAATATGCGAAATCCTACCAGATGCCCTTGGTTCATTGTGTGATGACTATCTGAGATGCCAAGTTGTTGTTTCCTGTTGTTTATTTTTTCAGATCTACTACTGTAGAAGTAACTCCTTACACAAAGTGTATTCAAAGTTGAATGAAGCATTTTTAGGCATTTCTGTAATGAGAAGTAAAACAGATCAATGCTTGGCATTGAAAAGACTCATCTCTCCCTCTGAGAAAAAGTTAAAATTACCTTTTAAATATAAGTGGTAGAGAAATCTAGCAGAACTTCACTTTCACTTTTGCTTCTAAATTCCTCCTAAAGAAAATTCTGTTGAGTAATCAGCTCAAGAGTAAAACCTTTTATCGTCATGTCGCTAAAGCAATGCACTTCATATTTTTTTACCTGGCTATTTACTTCCCTAAAACTGTCTTAACATTACCACATTTCTACAAATTAGAAATAGCTATATAAGGTTTCGCACAGCCTGTGCATTAAAACTCTTCTTCTATGACGTAATGTTGATTACCGTTGGAGTTGGATCTTTGTTGGCTGTCCTATGATTTAACTTCCAACCTCTCGTTGGCTTTGTGATATGAAACATCTTCCATATGCTGCCTGGCTAGTGAGTACTTGTGTAAATTTCTAGTTTCAAGTGTGGAAAGTTTGGACATGATATCCAGGCATGTAACAATATCTCTGCATGAAAGACGACTGTTCAAACATAACATAGCATGTACACCTTTTATTCAAAGTCCTGCAAGATGTTTTAATCCAAGCAATATTCCTGAGACTAGACGAGCTAATGAAGGCATTCTTGAACAAAAATGCCTTGAGCGATAGTATATCCAAAAGTAAAGTGTATGAAAGGCACTCGAATAACCCCTTCGCCACGGTAAACCACATTTAATGACAGCATAATTCCCTGTAACTTTCAGATACAGTATCGTAAAAGGCACAGCTTTTCATTGCTGCAGTGCCAACAAATCCCCATGATTTCATTGTTCATTCCAAAGCTAAAGTGCTGTAACCTTCCCCTGAAGTCCTCAAAAATAGATACAAAAAGTGCAAACTACGGCATTTCAGATGAAGAGTTCTCATAGACTCATGTTCTTGCTTTCTCCCAGTACTCTGGCAGTTCACAAGTATAAAGCCTCAGTTTGAGAGTTACAATTTTCTCCTTAAAGAAAGAAAAAAGAAGACCATTATTTTTAAAAATCCACAATAATTTAAGCAAATAAATAAATAGCCTCATTTTAACCGCTGAGTGATAAACAGTGAGAGCCCTGTCTTCATTACATGCAAGGTTTTCTGTGCCACGCTGAAGTACAAAGGCTCCTTAAAGCAGCCACTAATTTACCTAAACATCCTGTTATGATCATTTCAGAGGGAAGAATTATCCACATTTGCCATCTATCCATCTTTCTCATCTCTGATCCAAATCCTGGATTTTCCATTACGTCAAAGCTATCACTGACTATCAGTTATACAGATGAAATAACAAAACTGAAATCTGGTTACAGAGCATCTACATGAATGCTTGTCAATTACTGTGTCAGTAAAAATATTTGCAGAACTGGGACCTCATTAAGCAGGTAAAATGTACTACATCTTCAATGCTGATACAGCTTGAGCTGTAAGTTAAAACGATAAGATGAACAATCCTTGTTCCTGTAACCAGGGCAATGTGGGTCATTTCCAAGGCTCTCTGGTAAAATATCTGTGGCTTTTATGCTTTAACTACATACTCATCATGGAAAAAAGGTTCTTTCCAGTGTTTCTTAAAAATATACGATGCTGAGAAATACAAAAGTTTGTCATATGACTTACTGCATGTTGCACAAAGATTTTCGGACATTAAAATGAAGAAGTAAAACAAAACCACAAAAAGCAGCTACCTCTCCCTTTAATTCTTCATTTCACTAAGTATAAAGAGGAGGTTAGGGCTGACGAAGAGAAAAATCTACAGCAGCAAGAGAAAAAGCCATGGGAAGCTAGGCTGTGTTCACACAACATGCACCGGAATGATGTCTGACCATGCACCAAAGCTCTCCTCCAGCTCACTGCTTGCTTCGAGCTTTAGTTCATTGGCATATGGTGTAATTCCAGAGAAGTCTCTCACCGTCACATGGAAAATAAGAAAGTGTTTTTGACTGCAGTAGATACTGATTTCTGAAAGGTGAAAGCGTTTTCCTGAAAGTGTCATTTTGAATGTGTTACCTATTGATGTCAGTGGATTGGACAGCTAGGGGTAAGACATTGTCTGAGATGAAGTGAGACTCAATGAAGAATTCTTGCTCCCTCTGTTCAATCTCTAGTTTTTATTTCTTCAGATTACCGATACTTTATTTTTAGAAAATTTAAATTTAAATTTGAAACTAGAGTCTATTTCGATGTAGTATTGCTGTCTATAGTTGCTGCCTATCAATTTATACAGATTTTACCTGTAACAAAGAAAAAGCTGTGAGCATAAATATAAAAATTTTATGACTTACTATTCTCATCTTTCTGGTTAGGATAAAGTTTCCTTTTCCTGCCTATTAAAGTAAATGTAAACAAATTTAACAGAAGCATTTCTAAATTTGAAAGAAACAGTGTAATTCGGAAAGCTTTTAGATTAAACTAAAAACTTCTAAGTTGTATCTTTGGTATGAGTTAGTAATGAACTTCTCTCCAGTTCTTTTCTTTACATCTTTAGAACCAAATACCGAAGTCCTTAACAGCAAGATTTGTCTCAGTCTCAGTCTCAGTTGATAACAATAATTACATTCATCTGAGTTTACTGAAATTTATTCATAAGCAAGAAAAGACTGTCTGTTTTTTTTTTTTTACAGAACAGCAACCGGTCAGAAAAAAAACATTTCTTCCTATAAACCTTGTTTCACCTAAGTAACACGGTGGGAAAATAAAGCCCTACTCAAATGAAGAGGATCTCATTTTAGGATAGAGTTCTTCTAGAAATCAAACGTTACCAAAGTCAAATACGCATGGCTAAAGGTACTAAAAGTGCCAAAAGGTCATTCATAGGAAAAATAAGGAACAAGAAAGAAGATCTACTAGCTGAAGTAAAACGTACCTTTTTTGACTTTGCAGTTCTTGAATGATTTTCTCTTTTTAAAGATTATTAATGCAGAGAGAAGAACAGCTACCATCACACACGTGGGGATGATAAATAAGATCAGTGATTTTTGCCTGTTATACCGTGTACTCATTAAAGCTGTCAAAAACAGAAAAAGCAGGCAAAAGAAAGTAAATTTAAAACTCACAAAACAGGCATAGTTTATAAAGTTATCAGTTCTGATTCTCCAAAGTCTTGCTCTGATAGGACAAAAGATTCTTAAAATTTATAAATGCGGTGTTTTACACTTACTTTATGGATACTTTATTCTGTGGTATTACTACATGAAGCTTTACAATAAATGAGTCAAGTCTCCCATACTTAATGGCATTTGAATGAGCACTACTGCAATTTCTCTGCGTCCCATTTGAAGAACAATGAATTAGAAGTTTAGGTCAGGAAAGATACCTGAGCAGACCGAAAAATCTCCACCATACTGGCAAGCAATAATGGGAGCTGCCCTAAAATCAAAATATACAGAAGAATGACAGAGCCTGGCTTGTTAGGGTTTAAGCTATACCTATCCAAATTAAGCTATTCCTATCCAAAGACATAGATAGTACTGATTTATTTTTTTCAGAGTATCAGTTTTACACTGGTTTCTAGGACTGAATACTGGTGACGGATTATAGGACACAATGTACTGTATAAAAGCACATAACAATTTCCTAATTTCTCTCTCTCTCTCATACATGTGTTTGGGAAGCCCCTCTTACACAAGTCCAAGGTGAGATACGGACCTAGCGTGGAAATGTGAGCTGATGTCTTTTCATTCAGTTCTTTATTCCAGAACATGCAGCTGTAGATCTCACTCATGTTCGGTTTGAACGTCAGGACACTGGTTATGTTGTATAGGCCATCTGCAGTCAAGGTATAGGTGGTATTTGTAAATCCACTGAGATTAAAGTCCTTCTTGTCTTGCCAGAATACCACTGCCAGAGGAAAGCCTTCTGACTGGCACATAAAAACAAACCGATCTTCATCTGATTTTCTCATTATTCGTGTGTTTATTCTCTTGTAGGATGCTGTGTAAGAACAAATTTGAGTGAAATAATTTTATGCAAACACAGTCGTTTTCCCCCTTCACTTTTCCTGTTTCCCCTGATTGTCGTGTTATGTATACGACTGAATCCGGGATAATCTCATCTGAAATAATGAAGGATGTTCTGTAGCACGATTCAGTGTTCTTATCTCAGTGCTTCTCAGGCCTACAGCAACTGGACTTCCTCCATTCTACCTGTTACAAGGCAGCATTTGACACTGAATTTGCAATTTATCCGTATAGAAATGAGGAAAGCCTTCTGGGGCTTTACTTTCACTTTTTGAATCTACAAAGTTATAGCTGTAGTACGAGAGAAATAATTCAGGCCACCTTAAGAAAAAGGGTGTTTTCAATGTTTGCACCATGACAGGTTATAAACAAGTGTGGCATTTTTGCCATACTAGAAGAGAATGAACTTAGAATTTCTGTAAAGACAGTTCAGAAGAACCAAGGTGGGCCTTAAAAGTGGCTGAATCCATTTTTGCATTTGACAAAACTCTTTATTTAAAGCCTTGAAGGGGAAAAGCTACTCTCTTGCATCACAGCAACATACTGCAATTAGTAGAAAACAGCATAGGCCTTTCAAAGGATTGGTCTACCAGGATATTCAATTAGATACTCATTTACCACCAATTTCTGGTTGGCATTGACAAACATAGAAAATCAGATGTCCTTGCACTTTGAGGTGCAATGGCTCAGGGAATTCCCAGCCACTTGGGTAGTCACAACAGGGCTCACAAGTGAATTAAAGCAGCTCAGACAAAGCCGTGCCAGAGCTGGCCCAGTGGGGGAGCGGGCACAGGAGAAGGGTGAAGGATGGAGCAGGAAAGCAGCTGCTCTCTCTCTCTGCTGCACGCAACCCCTAGAGAAGCTCAGCTGGCCATTGAACTTCAGTTCAAGACTAGCCCACACCAAGACAGCTGCTTTGGTACCCCCGGGGGCCAAGCACGGGGGCCTAGTGAGAGAAAAATTAGCAACAAATTCCTACAAACCTGTAGGAATCTAGCAGAGACATTTTAATGTGTATATACTTTTTATATTCCATTCAGCCACTGACCTTTTACTTCCAAAGTAACATACTTGTAGTCAGCTCCCTGGTAGTCAATGAGACAGAGGTATGATCCCGCATCCGTGATCTTTACACTGGTGATTTGAAGCACAGCTCGCCCCAGTTCCAATTCATTTTGTAATAATGCTGCTCTTCCTATATAATCATGATGCTGGGATGAAAGGAATGCCTTCCCATTGCGAAGCGTGTAAACCTCTTTCGATTTTGGCTGACCTTGCCTTCTCTGCTCCCAGACAACACTTAAGAGTCCAAGGTTTAATGAGCCATTAACTGGGAATCTGCACTCCATGGTCACATTGCTCCCATACTCCACAACGTACAGCTGTTGAGGGACTTCAACTGTAAATAAAGCTAAGGTAGGAAAAAAACCCAAGTTTTTGTTGTACTAAAATATGTTGCATTTTCCTTTCAGCTTGGGCAAAAAGTGTCATATAGTCAAACATACAGTTACTGGGTTGACTACAATTTTCTAGGTAATTTTTCTTTCTATTCACGCAAACATTTTTACTATGTCAGTAGTATCTATACAGCAAATCATCTTCATTCTGTATGGATTTCAGAGTTTGAAAGATAAGGATGAAATAAGCCATTAAACAGTATTTTCACATATTAGAAATAACTTACGGCTAAATCAGTTGTTACACAGGGGATACTTTTCTGAAATTATGATCGTTCCTTGTATGTCCTGACATTCTAGTGAAAGCAACAATTAATTATGGAAATAGTAAGCCTGACTTTATTGTTCTTTAATAAATGAAAATCCAGTGTAACTACTGTGAAATCAATAAAGATGCACTGGATAAACATCACTGTGAATAACAGGAAAACATATGATTACAGTAACTTGGAGTAATTGCTGTGTAGCAATTATGGGTCTTCCACAAGTTTGGGAACACATGAATATCATCTAATCCCATGAGTCTTCTCAGCTGTGTACAATGCTATTTGAGAAAGTATGTCAAAATCATCTGCTTAGTCATTCAACATATCTGAAATTCTTCTTGTTATGAGTAGTTTACTAAAATTGTACTTGATACATGAAAGTTAATTTCATACAAAATTCAACATACATTGTTACTACTTTTAATATTTTACATGCCATATATTGGTAGATCTAACTCAGAAGTACTTGCAAATGTTGACAGTGTCACTCAGAAGACAAGTTCTTACAACTATTTATGCATCTTCCGCTTTTATTTTGTGTATTTGTGAAATACTAACAGAGAAAGCTGCAATTCCTTTAAGCGCCGTTTGTTTCTTCACCTTAATAACGACCGTAGTGACAGAGAAAAAAAGGCAAATGTGCCAAGCTGTTCCCTTTTATATTTATTGTTTGTGATCTTATGCCTACACAGATAGTGTGAGCTAAGCTGCATTAATTTGAAATAAATTAAATGAGGAATACAGACTGCTGAATGTTACGTCTGCCATTAGATATTTACCCAAAATAAAGGAGAAGGTTTATCCCTAACAGCATCAGTGCTGGATGTGTTTTGCCTGCTGTAATCACCCCGAATCACCTTCCGCAGAGGAGCTCCCTACCGGCAGAAGACCAACGAGGGCAGTTCCCTGCCTCCTGGGTCAGTTGTTAGACCTCCCGTACCACTGCAAAGCACGGGGTCCCAGCAGAGCGTGGGAGGCGGGGGGGCAGCGGCCAGACCAGCCGGCCAGCAGGACTCCCCTGCACCTGACACTCCTCTGGTCCTGCTCTCCTTCGCAGATGGCCCAGGGGACAGAGCTGGCGCTAGCTGCTCACCGGGGACAGCAAGCCACGTGTGGGCTGAGAATCTGCAGCTCGCCTCTTGCAGTTCCCAGTGATGTAAACTGAAAGTCTGTAACCCCCGCAGCACTCGTCTCCTATTTTTCTTCCCCAATGGCCCTCTTCTGAATTTTGGCCAAACCACAGGCACGGACAAAGGGACACGCACGGTTGTACCTCAGCGCATCTAGCACTGAGGTTGTCCTAATTTTCAACTGGCTTACACCGTTTTGGTCACACTGCCTTTCATAGCTATGCCTGGTAATTCTGGACACCTCCTCCAAAAATATGGCATGCTTCAAAGAAGCCAGATTTGGGAAAGTGGTGGGCATCTGTCCTCTGCTCGATTAATCCAAAATGCCTGCTGTAAGGCATTGCAGAGCAGAGGCTCCATCCATGAAAGGACCATGGAAGGTGCTGAAACACGTGTGCTAAGGGTGTCCCGGTATCATTATACTGGTCCTAGTGATTAGACTGAATGGCAGTACCTCTCACCTGAAACTGCACAGAGCTGCATTTCCAGTAACAGGACTGTCACGATTCCAAACATTTTCTCAGGTGAATCTGAAACAAAGGCAGAATTGCAACATAGTTTTCAGCAACTACCAACTACTCTTCAAAATCTATCACAGCTAAAAATCAGCAAAAAATAGAAGTATTTACATTTACGCTAGAAATAATGGAAATTCTGATCAAAATAACCCATGTGTACATGTGAAGTATGAAACACTGAGCTGTGGCACAGAAAGGAGAGAAAAAGCACTTCTGCAGCTTTACCCTTAAAGCTTCCAGTTAGTAGTGATTTACCTGGACAGAGTTTAGACAGCCTCTCATTGCAACTGTACCTCTGAACAGTATAAAGAATTGATGGTGGACTCTCACATGCAGGAAAGCTTTATAAACATGCACAAGCAAACTTTTTAAACTGCCTGCACTAACACCTTATCTACTTTACAAGATCACTAACCCTGATTTTATTTCAACTCTATTCTGCACACTTTTTGAAAATACTTGCTATCTGAGTTCTTTAACCTCAAGGACAGCAGATACCTGGAATTCAGCGTAAGGTACGGGAAATCTCAGGACCAACTGAATTAGAAGTCCGGTTTAGAGTGGCTTAGGTTTTAGTGCTAAGTGCTGTTAGTTCTTTCTCTTTACACGTGGCAGTACCTGGCACGTACAAAGTACCTTGAATTACTTACAGTAAAGAAAATAGCCCTTAAGTAATGCATCAGGAAGGAGAAAGTCCGATTTTAGAGTATCTTCCTGTATCAGTAACAAACAAACTATTATTTGTACTTTCACAGGCAGATGAACATAACTAAAAAAAGTGACAAAATTTATAACAGAACTAATAAGATGATAGATAAGAAGGAAAGATTACTTCCAATGAATCAACATACAGTAACATAATTTGAAAAGTTAAAGAGATCCAGAAATAAGCACAAGGAAGTAAAGAGGAGAAGAAGCAATTTTAGACTTCCCCAGAGCTAGGCTTACTGGAGAGACTTTCAGATTTTACTTCCTCATTCATCTGCAGCTCAGCTTGAAGCATTCTGTCTCTGATTCTCTCAGGTACTGCATTTTTCTGATTGCTTCTGCTCTTGCGCTGTCAGCAACTCAGACAGTCAGGATCAAGGCTTTGCCAAAGTTAGCAGACAAAATTAGTGGACTCATCCTGGAAATTCGGACCTTAATTTTTTGTTCTCGTCCATAAAGGTGGATGAGCAAACTACAGTAAGCAGTTTATTATATGTAAGTGAAAACTACTGACCTTTATCAGAAGGCTTGACTGAGGGGAAACTATCTAATATGTGATAAACCCTAGTTATTTTACTGTATGAGAAAGGAACTAATTAACAATATCCGGCATTAGTATCTTCATTTCTCAGACGCACAAACAAATATCCTGTTCAGCCCTTACAGCTGGGTTAAATTTCACTTCATTATGTATCCACTATACTGTTTCACATTTAATATTAGAAAGAAATTTACCATCCCCCATCTCCTGCTCTGTTCACTCTTCTACATACACTGCTACGTGCAGATGGTTGGACATAGAAGGAAGAAAACAGAATGAAGAAGGGAAAAGTATTCCAGGTAAATGTTTAGATCCTTAGCTTGGCCTCCCTGTGGGATATGTGAGGTCGGTTTGCTCTCTTGTTGTACACCGAAAACCTAGAGTATGTATCTTGTATAATGTAGAGGATGGGACATTTTTAAAATATGCATATTATTAAGAGTAAAAGGAAAAGACAAAATTAAGAGAATAAATAATTAAAGGCCTATAGCCATCATAATTACTAAATATCAAATAAGAGCAAATCTTGCCAGGCCAGATGGATTAGTGTAAGAAGAGCATGACACATAGCATAAATAAGTAAAAGAACCCAAATAAGGTAACATATTCTCATTTGATACTGGAAGCAGAGTCATGAGATGCTTGTGAAGAACAGCAAAGACCTGTGTTACAAGCCATCTTACTTTATTCTCTGTTATCTCACTAAGAGACATTAACCCATTGCTCTACTCCAGTGTAATCTACCCATGCAATTTAATAGCATAGCTGTGTAAGGCATTGAGGGAATTTCTATAAGATCTGCACCAGCATCTGGAAGGTGTTTTTTCTGAGCTTTAATATCAGCCATTCACTGCGTTCCAGAATAAGCCTCATTTTTTCCCTGTCTTTTGAGGACATAGGCATGCCCTATCTTGCAGAGATCATCGAGCCCTACGATCCAAGCAAGTAAGTACACCACACTGTCTTACTTTCAGCTGGCTACAGCACATTTCCCTTAAGCAAAAAGCCATTTCTAAAGCATATTCATCACCTGTGTGTTGCAACTTCATAGCGGTATGACAAATAAACCTTGCACCATAGAAACAGCACCTACTGGTCCTGGCAGCTAACTTCTTAGCTGGAATCCACATCTGAGAACATGGGGAAGTAGCATGACATTTCAGCAGCAATTTGGAACCTGTCAACAAATGAATTTCCCAGACCAACTCCAGAAGAAAAAGCAAGTTTTCACACAATACTGTGTAATTGTGAAAATGAAGCTGCAGAGAGTTGAGGTGATGTAAGACATAGGATCACACATATAAAAACCATCGTACCTTTTATGAGTTGCAATAGTTCCAATGAGGATGTGAGGCCTAAGACTAAAAATTTGAGTGGGGAAAATGAAAACAAACACTTGACTACATGAATGGAAAATGGCAGGGAAATAATCTTCTGTCTTTATAAAGCTTTTTTACTTTATTGAAAGTACTAAGTTGAAACCCATATTTGATTTTCCATGGCCCAAAAGAAACACAGTCTGACAAATTTTCTCAGTGAGTGCTGAGTGAACTCCAGAGGGCAGTGATAATCAACCGCTAAAATTCCACTACTAGATCAAAAGGACACTCTGTGTAGTTTCCCTCCTTTGGACTGGACTGATCACCTCTACGACTTTAGTCCTGGCCAAAGCTGACATATACACAGAGATTATAACACTGATCTTTAAAAAAACAAACAAACAAAAAGTAATTTTTGGTCAATGGAATGCACCAGTTCATGTAGAAACTCCAGCAGCAAGCTAAAGTTGTCCTCATAACAACTGAGAAAGATGCTTCTTGTTCCCTCAGAAACTTTAGACTCAGCATACCTCTTTCAAACTGCACAAGTCTGTAGCTGTAGGCCACAACACTGCTTTCAACATATTATTCAATTTTCAACTTAAAGTATATACTTCACTCATTTTACAGACAGAAATAAAGATGTTCTTATCCTAATAGAGCTATACGCATGATGCTATTAGGATGCTATTAGGAAGCAGAAGAGGTGTTAGAGGGGGGAAGTATCAAATTCTACAACCTTACTATTAGCTAGCTATTGAGCAAATAGCTACTTCGAAGCTGCTGTGCTTTGCACAGCTCTATTCGGCATGCATATGCCTCCTGCATCATGTTTTGGGGAACACCCAGGCTGCGAGCCCAAGTGGGTTGCTGGTTGAGGTTAGCACTAGTCTGCTCAGAAATGTTAAGACAGAGGTCCAGAAGTAGAAATGCTAGGGACACTTGAGGCTCAAAAGCTTAAGCTCCTCTGACTGAAGGTGTTTCCACAGTTAGGAAGCAGCTGAGCAAAGGAGTTTTGTAAATTGCTGTGTCAGATGTCACACACTTAGTCAGGGCGTAATCCTGAATCCTGTGGCGTTCCCAGATTTCTTAAATGGAGCAATACCACGATCATCTTTGCAGAGGATTAAGCATGTTGCCTGAATCCTGCTAGCCAGTGGGACAGGGCCCTTTGTATCCACCTCCTAGCTATATACGATGGCCAGAATCTAATCCTAAATTAGGCAACACAATGCAAAATGAAAATGTGGCAATAGGTTGCAAAATTATTCTGTAAAAAATAATATGCTAGTGCAGTAGGTAAGCCAACGTAATGAATTAAAAAGTAAGTATCTCTCATGTATTGTGAAGAAGAGGTTAGACAGAGCACTAAATTCTGTTCTCGGAGGCATACACGTCTGAGGAAATAATTTGGCCTTTGGCCTGTAATGCCCTCCCTTATCGACATGTAGCAGACTTCCTAAGTAATGTTCTTGTCAAAAATCTTTGACAAGATTTAGGTTGGTTCTAGAAATAGGATAGTTTATCTGTGATGTAATCTTCAGATTTCAGGGCCTGTTTGTGCAAGTCTTCACTCTCATGTGAGTCTTGACACAGCAATGATGAACAGCTTTCTGAACCAGAACGTAACTGTGATGATCCCAAACAAGTCACAGATTATTTTGTAATCAGTTCCTTAGCAATAAATATTGAAACCTCCGACTGAATCATATGAACTGTGAATTCAATTCCATTCCTTTCATCCATGTATCTGAAAGATAACAGCACTTTCCTTAGATAAAAGGAGCATCCTCCTACGAGGATGCCTTTAGTAGCCTTGTTATGTTTACTGCCAACACAAAAACAACAAAGGACAGAACAGGGCAGGACAGAGTCTTCACTGCGCTGTCTGCTAAACAAACACAATCAGAGACACCACCGCTGATTCAGAGATCTTACAGTCTAATAAAGCATGCATAATCCTTCCCTGAAGACACTGTTCGACCTGTTGAAATGTTCAGATTCCAGATAATGGACAACTAAGAACACAAAACGCATTTAGCATTTACTTAAGGATGCTTCACAGCTCAAATGAGGTGAGTTTCGTGGATAGAGGGCAAAACTTCTGGAATAATCAGAACTGTTGGAAAAATTAAACAAGCTTTCAGGCACATGAGCTCTTCATGAAGTTTAAAACAGAAGTCAAAACTACATACAGGTTGAGATTAATTCCTCGGACTTCAGTCTGAAAGGATAAAGGACTAAAGAAAAAGTACTGGGTACTTTTAGAGTTAAGTGGATATTTTAAACAGACTTTGCCTATGGAGCAATCTGGCACCTGTATAGCATTTATCATGTGACAACACTCAGTTTTACGCAGTATAACACAGGCCTTCTTAAGAAGTTCCTAGAAGGAAGCAAAGGATGGGATGTCTCCGTCCACAGCTGGGAGCAGGAGGACAGTAACATTACATCACAGAGGTAGCTGGAGGTAGGACAGATTATCTGTGCCTACCTCCACACACACAGTGAAGTACGGTTTAGCAAATAAGACATTGCAGGCAATCTGAAAGACTAGTGAGAAATCCTGATCTCATGGACCTTATTCTAGACTTGAAATAGCAGTCTTGCTACTGTTTTTTTCATTCTTATGTTCAATATTTTTACTCTGCCTCAAGCATGCTCTGTAACCTTGGAGAAGTCACTTCAGCTCGCTTTTTTCCTTTTCCCTCTCATATCTTTTGTATTTTTTTGCTGCAAGGACATGCCTGCACAAAGCAAAGTATAATGCCCTCTAGAAATATCCAAGAAAGACAAATTCATCTGAAAACCAGAAGTATTCAAACTATGGTAACATGGCATTCCTCTTCGGACCGGTTTGGCTGAGAAGGAAGCATTAGAGAAATACCAGGTTAACGTACTGCTTCACATGGCAAAGCTAGTTTGTTTTGAGGTAGCTATGAGGAGCAAAGCTGTACATTCATTTCATTGGAAAAAGGACTACCTGCTTACTTGCATATGTACACTGCCTAAGATTGTGGGGTCTCAACCACTATGTGCTTTCTTTGTCTTTGTTATTGAAATTCCTTTCGCTTTTGTGCATCCACAGGCTCCAAAAGCTTCCTCCTTCCAACCTTCTCACTTGTGCAAAAGGGCACAGCCTTATCAACATTCACTTGAAGTGACTGAACTGATTTCGCACTCAGTGAAGGATCCTGCGTAAAAAAAACAACAGTAAAAAAACCAAGGCCAAAATAAAGCAAAACAAAAAAATCAGTACTGGTGTCCTTATATAAATTACGTCTGTACCGTATCTTGCCAACGGAAAGAGGGTACTTTGTTTTCTTCTCAGGGGCTTCATTTAAAAGTTAGCGATGCAAACAGTGAAAATTAACATTTGTTCTGCAGTCTGTTTCACAGGCCTGTGCCATTATATCCTGTGGACACACTTTCTGCCATCACCCTCTTTATTCTACCCCCTCACCTGCTCTTGCCTTCTCTGCTGGTTGCATCCTTATGCAGGCACTTGCAGTCCGCCTCGCTGCGCACTCAATTCATTCCTGGGTCCTTTGCTTAAAATCACCTGTGACAGGTTATTTGCACCATTTGAATCTGCTCCTCACCACACTTCAGCTTTCAGGTGAGAATATGCCGTTTCTCACTTCCCTCTTTGTTTTCCTTTGTGACTAATTTTTACCGACTCTGCATTGTGTATCTATCACCTGTTGTATCTTTTCACTGTCACTTTTTTGTTCAACTTTAAATACAGCAATTTAAATGCAATAATGCAACTTCAAATATAATAATTTTTGCCATACAAGGCAGACACCTGTTAGCTGTTAGCAGCAGCACGGAATAATACAGGCTAACACTTCTGAGTGACACGCTGCAATCCTCCTTTTATATCTCCAACTTTACTGAAAGAAAGACTTTTCAGAGAAGGACAAAAAATTCTCTTCTTCCTAGTCAGTGTTCATCCCGGGAAAGCAAAAGGTGAAATTCCTCAGAAATGCTGTAAAATCGAAACAAGTCAGCAGTGGTAGGGAATTAATAACAAGCAAGAGAAAATAAGCAGAGATATATTGATATAAATAAACAAATACACAATTTTTTTTCTTTTTATAACTCCTCTCTGAAATTCAGAATGAAAGATTTATAAACAACAATATTCCAATTCATTAGCTGTAGAGGCTTCCTAGCACCACTGTTCTGCCTTCACCTATGACAGACGAAAGACTGAGTTGGAAGACTCGTAGATTCAGGTTATAAAATTCTTCCCCAAGCTTTGAAGTTATCTGGACCTGTGTCTTAAGACTTGGGGCTTACTCCATCCTTGGTTCAGAATCAGAGTCCACTCCCTGAAAATCATTTGAAAACCAACGTCATTTTAAAAACTCCTAAGAATACAGAAAAAAATCAGCAATCCACCAGCCAAGAAATACAATAAATATAGTTTTGCATTTTAGCAGCATTATACTCACATCAGATCTTTATGCAACCATTGGAAGAATCAGGTCAATGTAGCAGCTAAGATTCCCAAGCTTTTACAGACAAAGTAGCTCTATTATATTTGCACGATAGCAGCAGCTGTCCACCTCTCACAGTCAGTTGAAAACACGTACCAATAACGCAGCCCTCAGGCTGATCTTCTTAAAGCTTAATGTCACTTGAAAATGAGTGACTCTCTTAAAAGGAAACCACCAAGTTTCTTAGGAATTTATAAGCGGTTCCAGTTTCATTTTGATGTTTCATGCTGAAAGTACTCTGAGTTCAATGCTCTGTGTTCCTGAGAATATTGCATCCAAACAAGTTTATTCAAAGCATCCAGCAGAGTTTTTCTGGATTTCTGGATTTACATCCTCTTGGGGCAGTATACAGCCTCAGAATCTGAACATCTTGCTAGGACCACTCCGCATTCAAGAAACTATCAAGTTACTTTTTTTTTTTTTTTAATTCTCTTCATGTTAACCTTACAAAACTTCTTACAGGGATTAGCTAACATTTGCATAATACATTTCCTGTCCATTTTCATCAATATCCATCTAAAAATACATCACACTGAGGGTAATAATACACTGGTGCCCAGAGAGATTGTGGAATCTCTGTCCTTGCAAATATTCAAAACTTGTTAAGATAAATCCTGAGCAAGATGATCTAAGTTGGCCCTGCTTTGAGTGCAGGGGGTTGGACTAGATGATCTCCAGAGGTCTCTTCCAATATAATTCATTCTTTTAAACCACATCACCTAACTCACCGGGTGTCTCTTGTGCATTTTACTGTTATTACTATGCACTACTTACTTCTATACTGCAGGTCAACGCTTTATCTTTTAATTTCTGACCGCATCATTGCTGTTACCAACTGTTATTTACGAGTCATGTCTGCAAAAAGACTCCCTTCTAATCACTGTTTTTCCTTTATTTTTTAGTGCAAGTAGTCATATGTTTTTCTAATCTTCAGTGGGCTGTACAACTGGGGAAAACAAACCAGTGTTCTGTTCCTCTTCCTAACACCCAGACTATGGTACTGCTAGCATTTAATAACTAAACGGAGACCTTTCTTTCTCGCTTTTGTTTTTGTATTATTAAGGCATTAACCTGATTACATAAAAGGATTATCCATTCCTTGCGTCAACATTTTAGGAAACAGAACTAGGAATATTTTTTGTAACTGGATTTCAGTTCTGACTAGGCAGTTTTTATCGTGGGTTAGAACTATGCTTTAATTCAGCTATCAGGACTCAGCAAGAAACTTGGTTTAATCGGTATCTTTCACCTCCCTAAATGCAGAGCTGCGTCATAATAACAGTTCTGAAAAGGTACTTAATTTAGCAGGGGGAAAGGATTTTAGAAAACTGCTTCCAAAGCCAGCAGAAATGCTAGAGTGAGAAGTACTGAAAACACGTACATTCTCACTATTACATGGACTAAATATTTTTGTCTAAACTCATGAAAGAGACTGATCTTGATGGAATAATACCAGATGTAAATCTGAAATTTTTTTAATGCTCAAATTCTACCTTCTTCTCTGCACAATATTTCATAAATAC